CCTTCTAAAGATTTAGGAAGACAAACATCCTTCCTTGATATTGGAGAGAAATATAACTTCTTATTTTAGAGAAACTTTGTATTCTCTCTATTGATTGCCTCAATAACTTTGGGGTGACATTTAAAACAAGTCATAGTATGATTAGGCATTCTGGCTATACTAGACTTAATAAGAGTAAGTCTACCATCTCTAGATAAAGTATTAGCTTTTTAGCCAACTAGTTTTTGTTTAATTCTCATGATGAGTGATAAGCTCATATTTACATATATTTTACATCAAATTCACTTGTCTTTTCTTAGTTAGTTCCTTATATTTTTGAGCTATTTACTTTGTTTTTGTGTTTTCTGGGATTTGTCAAGCAAAGAAAAGAAAAATAGCACAAGTGGGATTTTAAGTAACAAATTCGTCAAAACTGCCTGTGCAGATCAGCTGACTTTGGAAGCAAATTGTGGATAGCTCAGAATGATTTAGAGAATGGGCCTTATATGCTTGGAAAGCTACGGATATCTATTTTATGGACCATTTTGCGGATTTCTAATATCATTTTTCTAGAAGAAGTTACGGCCATTTTAACACTGAAAGGTTCCCAAGAGGCTGAGCAGTTTGTAACTAAAGGCAATAAATCCAATAAATCTAGCAGCCAAAACTGATGCAGCCAAGAACAAGTCAGCTAACACTTATTCAAATATCAGAGGAAATGGAAATAAAGATGAGAATTAAGTGGGAGTAATGGGCATAAAGGCTACCCAAAGAGTTACAATTGTTTTACCATTTCCTCTCACTTATTGTCATCACTAAATGGCTATTAGTGGGTGAGTTAAGGAGAAGAAAATGATGTAGCAAGAATTGGTTTAAAAGCAGCGTTGGGGAAGGAAAGAAAGAGGATGAGGCCTCAGTTGATTTCTTTCAGTTCTATCTTCTCAAACTCATCTCTCTCTTTTGTTTTTATTTAAGGATTGTGTGTAACTAAATTTTTAGTAGTTAGGGGTTGTTTTGAAGCCCTGAATATGATTGCAAGTTTGTTATAACATTTTGTTTGAATTACTTTTATGAATGGATGAAAATTGGTTCACTACTTGTCTCATTGATGAATTCTTTATGTATTCTCTACGGATGCATACTTAGTAAGCATATCTAGGATTCTAATGCTATGAATGTGTGTGTGTCTGCCCTTGTCGAATGAGGACCTACATATGTTCTAGAGTAGTACTTGTTAATTGCGATTAACATGTGAACCAATTTCTAGGATAAGTAAGACAACGCCAGTACTTACGATGCTTTGTGATGACTCAAACTCTTTTTGTTCTTAATGATTTCTACTTGTTAAAACTATGAACACGCCATTCTAGATTGCATGCTAGAGACTAAGTTAAGTTGAAAACGTCATTCTCTTAACATACTACATAAGAAAGAGTAATAGGTTGAGTTATAACATTGAGCCAACTTGAGCATCTTCATCCGGAAATAAAAGGAATTTGAATGAAACATAACATGTTTGCATGATTATTTGGTGGTGGATAGCAATTCCCCTAACTCATTTTTCTTGATTTGTGAACTACTTAAAATCTGTTTCTGTCCTGTTTTTATTCGATTTAATTTAAATAGCAAATCAACTCCATTCCAAATATTTTTGTGAGTGTAGCTCTGTGTGTCTAGTGTCTTCATATAAAATTTCATAAACTTTAGATAAGTGTAAGTTGGTCTAATAATTATTTTTCGATGGCTGGTTTGTAAGGACATCATCCTAGTTTTTGTGACATTTTAAGTAGTTAGATAAAACAATCTTCTGCGGGAAAGACCTTTATTTTCATATGCTACAATTGACAAATCTTAGAGTTAATAAGGAAAATCAATAGGACATTTGTGTGCTACTTTGTGGTGTGCTTTTAATCCTATCAATGAGTTCGTTAGCATTAACAGGGCCTTTTCAAAAATGATATTATGAATGCCTAATTATTTACCAATATTAGTTTTATGTTAAATATGCATGATATTGACAATGTCATTTCTGAGTGCATTATGTGTATTTTGGAAGAACTCCACGAACATTTATGAAAACATAACCCTTTTTTTTTTGACAATCAATTTGTAGTAAGTTTGATGCTACAAGGGAGACTTTATTCTTGAACTAATAATCTCACCATTTTTTAGTAGTTCGCGTGAACGCAAGAGGGACTATCCTTTTCGTTGCTTGCACTTACTAGGAAACAATCTCTCTCTTCTATAAAGCGAAGCAAAATGCACCAACAAGGGAAAGACTTAATACCTTGCTCCAATTATTATTTTGGTTAAATTGTAGCATTGGTCTCGAACCATACCACAAGTTTAGTTATGGTCTCTAAACACTATTAATAGTTTCTCATTTTAACGAAATTCCTACTTTACCCTCAACTTAATAGGAAATTGACGGAATTAGCAAAAAGGACCACAAGTGCAATCACATCATATAATTTGAGGACTGAAACAACCAATATTAAAGTTGCAGTTTAGGAATAAGATCAAGAAAAAATCAATAAAATACCTAAAATTAGATATTTGAAATAGGAAAAACTAATGAAAGGGTGGGTTTGAAAACTTTTTTTTTTTCAACTAAAAACATTTAATGAACATTAAAAAAAATACGAATAAGGAAAAAAAAAGAAGAAAAAAATAGCGGTGGCATTTTCGTAAATAAGTTAAAACTTGGTGGCTTCGATTGTTTATACACGATTAGGTCAACTATTTATACACAAGCTTTAAACTTCAACTTATTTACAAAAATACTACCGCCACTTCTTTTTAACTTCAACTTATTTACGATATTGCCACTAAAATTTAACTTATTTACGAAAATGCCACCACCTTTTTTGTCCTTAATATTTCAATCTCAAGGCCATTTCTAATCGAAATGGCTAAACATACCCCCGTCAAGAATTATAGCTCTCTATGAAATTATTTTAAAATGAATAGTGTCATGTCATATTTATATATCATCTCCTACTGAAATGGCTAAAATATGGCCTCTCAAAAAATTTATTATTTTAAGTTTGTCCTTTAACTTTATTGGTTAATTGAATTAAAATATCATATCAAAATAAGGTTATCCGGACATATCTTGAGTGCTACTTGTCGCTAAATAAATTAGCCTCTAGATTTCTTATGTTTATATAATCTCAATAATTTTTCGGATATGATTTCAAGTGTCACGTGTCACTAAATAAGTAACTCTCCAAATTTTTTTTTTTATCTTTATGTAATCTTAATAATATTTCTTACCTTTGGTTGAAGATGTGGCCATTTGAAAAGAGTGTTTGGGGTGTGTATGAAATGAGTGTTTGAGATGAATAGAATGTGAAAACTTGGAATAAAATGAGGTAAGATAGTATGTAAGGGTGATGTGAGAAATAGTGTAGAAATGACATAAGTGTTTATAAAGAAAATTAGATTTTTTTTTTTTTAATTCCATCTGAGAAAAAAAATTCAACGGCTAGATGACGTTAGCTAGCCTTTGCATGCTGATGTCAGCACCTAGAGGATGGCAGATGGGCCCCAAAGAATCGGGCTTGGAAGTATCCAGCCTGTTAGCTTTTTGGCCCAACATTTGGCTTGGTGGGTTTCACACATTTTTAGTCCAACCCTCCATTGGAGATAGGTTTTTTTACCAAACAGGGCATTTTTGTAGCATATAGCCTTTTAGCCATCTCCATTGGAGATACCCTAAGAGCTTTTCATTGAAACTTCTTTAAAATAATGCAAATAACCTTTTAATCTAAGCCACTTGTTGACATGCATCATATATATATTTTTTTTTTGAACAAAAATAGTATCTACACTAAAAGGGTAGGGGAATGAGCTAAGCCTTACAATGGGTTTGCCATGAATCGAACCTAAGACCTCTCATTTACAAGTAAGATAAATACCACTAAACCGTAGTACCAAGTGGCTACATGTATCATATTTAAAAAAAAAAACTTGTTTAGTGTGTTGTCCTATCATTGGCCCGCCACTATATCTATAAGGAAGCGAGACTTACGTGACGCCTAAAACTTGTCATATTTTAACAAATTTTGTGAGGTGAATTAGTCTATAGTGAGACCTCAAAATAATTTCTAGTTTTCTTGTGTTAACGATGGACCCATTTAGGTATGCCCAAACGATATAAGCTCAAGAAAAGGCCAAGAAGCCCAAGGTTAAAGAGTTCGAATAGGGTTGACTCGAGTGTTAGGTTGACTGAGACAAAAGGATGACTACCCAACCGCATGGAACACGTGGGCGCACTGACAACTTTATGGCACAAGTCTCCAAGGATAGAACTACTTAAGTGTTACTCAGGCCATTCAGCAACGTGCGGACAACAACAGAGACCTAGGATGGGACATAAAGGCAGTCAGGGTAGTGCTCGGCGACCACCTGGGCCTAAAAAGAGGTGCCATTCGACTGCTAGAACGTCACTTCACTGACGACGACCTGGGTGGATAGGTGAAAAGTTGTCAATAAGCTTGTACAAGTGGTTAACACATTAAATGCCAGTTTGAGATGCCTTAAGAGGGTGTAGGTTATATAAAAGGGGTAGATACCTCCATTATGGGGGTTAGACGAATCAGAGAAGATAGAGTAAATGTATTAGCCGAGCGTTATTTAACCTTGAAATCAATTTACACAGTAGATGCAACCCAATTTTCAGAAGTAAACCACTTACATCTTCGAGTCCATTTAATTTCAGTCTATCTCTTGAGCTTATCTACAGTCATTTAATTAAGTTTGTTAACCTTACAATTTTGAGCGTTAACATCTTGGAACAATGATATACTTAAATTAAAGGGTAGAAAAATAAATTAGATATCGCTATCTATAAGATTCAAACATAAAATCTCCTATTTGCAACTTTAAGTAAAGAAAGGTAACACTAGAAGATAATAATAAATAAGAAAAATTAACGAAAAATTCAAAAATATTTTAATTAAATTCTTGTCAGCAATAATAAAAATAAATAAAAATTCAGGTCAATAATTAACCACTAACCCAATTCGTCAAAACCTAAAAGTCCTCTACTTCTCTCCCATCGGACTTGGATCACCCACGCCCCACTAAACAACCACCTCCACTACCACCAGCGACGAAAACGAACGACCACCGCGACAGCGACGTCCACCCCCTCTCTTCCCCTTTGTCTCGTCGTGGGTTGGTGCGAATCCTCTCTCACTGTTCGTATTGTCTTGCAATACACCCTACGGTACTCTCACTGTTCATTTTCTCTTGCAATACCGTTCGATTTCGATACTGCATCTTTATTGAATGTTGATATGCAATGTATTCTCAATAATGAATGACTACTGTCGATGATAAAAAGTAATTTGAAAAATTAATATAAATTTGGAACGATCGAAGGCACTGGGCATATGTCGAATTCATTACATGTGTATAAAAGAGCAAACCTTGAGGGTTGAACTGTATATTTTGGAGTTCTCATGTCAGTTTAAACTTGGGTTTATTAATTTCAAAATTGGGTTTGCTAATTTCTCCTCCTCGGATGGCCATTGCCCTATAGAAGTTGCCCTATGCATATTGCTGCCTAAGATCAAGGTCTTCATTCAAATTCAAGGGAAATTAATAGGATTGTAATAATACTGAAAAGTATGATTATTAAGGAGAAGAATTTGATTATAGGTGCAATATAAACCTTCATCTAAATATTGTATTTCCCTGGTGGAGAATTTAACATTCTTTTTTCTTTCTGCAATTCCGGGTGGGTTGGGGAAGATGAGATGGGAGCTGAGAGATAGTAAATACAACTGTTTGGGACGTGAACAAATTTCTATAACCTAACCACAAACACCCACCAAAAATTATTAAGTGTTCATAAAATAGATTAAATAGTCCTCTTTTCATTAGAGAAGGGAAAAAATAAATTCTGCGCCCTAAAAATTAGTTAGAGATAATAGAGTGGGTTTCTTTGTTTCCTCCTATTTTGTTCCTTGATGGGTTTTATTTCGTTTTTCATTTTCTTAAAAGTGTATTTGATAGGGTGGTTTTACTAATTATGCGCTCCTTCTACCACAATTTGCCATCACCACCACTTGAACAGTTGAACTAATGTAGTTTTTTGTGCAAATTGTGACAGTATTACCTTCCTGAATACAATACAGACTCATCGAAGAAGTGTGAGAACTGAAGGTTTCTTGGATTGCAATGGCAGCTTCTGCAAACATTCTGACTGCTGAGGACCATACTTTAAACGGGGAGTGGACAGTCGTTTCATCTCGTCGTGGATTCAAAAGAAGAAACACACCCAGAATGCCAACCCTAGGGCAAAAGCTACAGCAACAGCAGCAGGAGCCTTGGGCTCCAACTGATTTCAAAATCAATTTTATCCGAGAATCAAAACTGATGCAGAAGATGCAGATCTGTATGAAGAAATTGGAGATGTCTCAGTTCTTTCTCAATTTACTGGATCAAATTGGAACTCCGGAACTGACGAATTGCTTCCTTAGGGTTTTGAGCTCTGAATCAAAGATGAACATGGTGATATATGGAATTGGCAGCCTTGAGACCTATGAATCACCTCGATTGCAGTTGAGCCTTGCGATCTTGCTGAAGAGAAATGTCAGTTGGATTGGAGATATAGAGGTGTTTGATCCTGTTCTTTCTGCCACCGAAACTCGTGTTTTGGAAGCTCTAGGCTGCACTGTGCTGTCTATAAACGAGCAAGGCCGGCGTCGGGCTCAAAAGCCGATGATGTTCTTCATGCCACATTGTGAGGCAGAGTTGTATGATAATCTTCTGCAGGCGAATTGGGAAGTGCAGCTGTTGGATTGCATCGTATTGTTTGGGAATAGCTTTGAGATGTATGAGCAGCACCTGTCAGAGTTTAAGAACTCAGCAATTGTCGATTCCACAACACGCATCTTGGCTGCTCGAAAATTCACAGATGAGTTTAGAATTAAGACAGTTTCTGATGATTATTTTAGTGCTTTTCATGATTCAAGTTGGCATTTTTTCGGCCCTGTCCTTGAGACGGAGCTGCAGTTGAGCAGATAATGATTATTTGATTGGTATCGAGAAATTTTATTGATGATTGAAGAAACAAATTAAGGCAGTTTTGGATTGATTATTTTGGTTGTTTTCAAGATTCAAGTTGGCATATTATCAGCCCTGACCTTGCAACTGACATGTAGTTCAGCGATGTTCTTTGATGCGTAAGGGAATCATGAACATGCCGAATATGATCCATAAAACATTGGCCTTTACTGTTGGTTATCTCAAATTGTTTGTTCTCGAAAGGGTTCTCCCCTCAGAGTTTCGTTTAGGCCATATCAAGCAACCTGGATATGATGGGTATAATCCTTCATTAACTTGAGGTATTTGAATTTCTCCGTCTGTAATGCTGAGAAGATGTTTGCATGAGAATTGTCGATGATAAAGAAGATAAATGTTTTGTTGAGGCGAAAAGAAGTTGAATGTTAATTTGGGTTCAAACAGTAATTTCCCTCGAAGATAGGAACTGGGGAGACACAAGGCTTCAATGGAAAATCCTGCACGCTTATGGTTATGGTGAGGGAGGTCCAACTAAACTAAAACACTGTTGGTACCTGTGGATCCCAAAATTGATCAACGAACTCGCTGACTAACACTTTAGTCATGGTATTGAGTACTTGGCTTTTGCTATTTTACAATAGTATTAGATAGTTTAATAAGGTTTTACACTTGTTAAGTCACCAGCGTTAAGTGGTGATAGTACTACCGTTAATTGTGGATATCGTTAATGTTAAATGATATTGTGAATAAATACTAAAGGTAGTTTTCACTAACACATCACCTAGAGTTCTGAATCTCGCTTCAAAACTTGTTATGGTCATCACTTAATACTAGTAACCTAACAAATGTCCAACTTTTAAAGAGATCAATTTGAAATTAATTCTAAAGGTTTGTGTGGTTATTTGTAACCAACCCATTTTTTAATGATAATTTAAGTTGATCTTTTTGTTTTCTATGTTGATGTTCAGCTATTATTTGAGTTAATTTGAGGTTTTCTTGCTTATAAATAACGTGAATGCTAATTATTTATTTATTTATTTAACAGAGGGTAAAGATGAGTCTACAATTTGGAATTAACCCTAAAAGTTGGGTAATTATTTGACAAAAAGAAATCAACATACGACGAGATTTCTTAAATTAAGGACTAGTACTCGTCATGGATGAATAAGGAAAATGAAAAAGTAGGTAGTATTCATTGAGGCCAATTGTATAGATTCTCCCAAATGCCGTTCTTATTGCTCAAGGAATACAGGCCTTCCTCTTCAACCCGCCACCTGCAATAATGCATGCAACGTTCTTGGAGCCATACGTGGTCCGGCTTTTCCCACTGAAAGTAGCAAAAGAAAAGCGTTGTGTCCCAAACATTATTCTCGAACGTGAAGTTGTAAGTGTTGCCAAATTCGACTATATGGTTGTGCAGATTGTCGTCCCCGGACAAACACTGTACTTGGAGGTCAGCCCTTGAAGGGTCCAGAACGGTTTGTATCTCGACAAGGACCCCCCCCCATCCAGCCATGCCGAGACCTGCCGTGAAGATTGGCAGAGTGTGACGACCACCACCGCGAAGAGAGTGAATATTACACGGCTCATTCCAACCATTATGTGACCCAGCTCAATCTTTAGAACTTTCCGTAGAGCGATGATTCTTGTGCATGTTATATATATATATATATACACACACACGCGCACACACGTACATAAACGGTATGTTATCCGATTGAATATGGATCATTAATCGGGTAATTCTTATTTGATGTTTGGGGCTTCAATTGTCACCCAAAGTTATTACTTGTTACCATGTAAAACTCTGAGAAATTTGGGAAAATATATCTGATTGATTCATCCCTTTTGTAAGCACTCCATCCATATACATCATGGCCGCATCACTTTTGTTAAATTTTTAGGGTGGGCAATCAAATTATTATTGCTTGGGTTTGAAACGCTACTGATTCGAATCATAATTTATTGATTTGTCAATTTAAGGAGTATCGGATATTTAGGACCTTTCAATCGTTTGATTTTTTTTGCCAAAAACACAAAAATCAATATTTGACAGTTGAAAAACCCAGAGCACCATATAATTTATTGTTGTGGCTCCTCTCGTTTAGTTTTACAATCATCTCCATAACACTTGTGGCTCATTTACTAATCCGTAATCAGAATGTGAGGAATTGAATTGATAAGAAATTGAACTGAAGATAAGTTGGGGTGGGTAAGAATCAGAATTAGATTCATATAGAAACTGTTTGCTAAATTTTTTAGGAATCAAAGGTAGGATTACTATTGAACCATAAAAACTTTTTACTAATTCACATGAATTGAAACTTTTTTTTTTATTTATTTTTTTTGAACAAATGATATTATCTACACTAAAGGGGAGGGGTGGGCTTAGCCTTACAATGGACTAGTAATAATGTGGTTCAAATTCAACTTTGGCGAGAATCGAACCAAGGGCGTCTCACTTACAAGTGAAGAGGAATACCACTTGACCGTTATACTGCAAGGTCCCTTAATTTTCCAAGTAATTGAAATTATTTTATATGCTAATTCTTTTTTATTTAGGGAACTTTAATAAAAAAAACTTCTGATACTGTTTACTTTAACGAAAAACCACATTTTTACACTAAAAAGTCAATTCTAGTACTATTCACTTTACCATTTATTTTGTCCTTATCGTTAAAACTCGAAGTTTTCAAGCCATTTTCATTAGTTTTCCTTTTTATTTATTTATTTATTTTCTGGTAAAACTTTATTTTCATTTTATATTTAACTTTGTGAAAACTTTTTTTTTTATTTAATATTGTGATTTTTTTTTTTGTTGCTAAGAGAACAAAATTTGGTGTTGGATTAATGCGAAGGGAACAGTAGCACAATCTGGTAGTATTCTTTTTCACTTGTAAGTGAAAGATCTTAGGTTCGAATCTCGTAAATGACGAATTTCATAGCAAATTAAATTACCCATTATGGAGCTTAACCGAACTCTCCCCTCCCTTTAGTTTAAATATATTGTTACACTCAAAAAATTAAAAAAAAAAAACAAGAGGGCAAGATGAGGAGAAGAAATCCATTCCAAATTTTTTATAAACACCATATTCCGTATCGAATTCAATTTCTTCTGATTGCCCTTACGTAAAGGTGCCATTGATGGTTTTATGGTGGAAGTGGAACAAACATGCTTTTGAAATGACTTTTCAGAAGGGTTGCCTAAAAAATTCCAGGAGGCCAATATATACAAACTTGTAAAACATCTTTTCTTACCATAAAAGGGGAGAAACACAACCTTATAAAACATGTTTTTGCATTCAAAATTTCCCGTTCATGGAATCGTAACATTAACCCGACTTCCCCAAGCAAGTAAAAACCGCCAAAATAAAAAATGGCCAAAAAAATTCCATTACATGGAAGGTGCTTTACAATCAAACCAAAAAGAAACTACTACTGAGGTGACTTTCTTTATACCCAAACGCAGATAGCAGCTCTCTCCCCTTCCATCAATATATACCGATTTCATTCCGTTTCCTTTTTTCTTTTCTTTTTTGAGGCGACTTTCTTTGAGAGCTAGTTGATATAGTTAATATAAAAACTACAAGGAACTAAATTAAACACTAATGCATAACCTTTCTAAGCTATTGCTTCTCATGTAGCAATCTCATCAACCTCAGAATTAAATACAAAACTTGGAAATGTGGTGGTAATATCCCTGCATTTAGTAAAGAATACAAATATTTCAGAACTACGAAATTTACGAAACATTGATTTCTACGCATGAGATTGGAAAAATTTGTTCCATACCGAAGATAGGGGAGGGTCATTATCTTTAGTAATGATGGATTCTTTGAGACAAAATTGTTCCATTCATACTTGTCTATCTTCCCATCTTGATTTACATCAGCTTCCAAGAATGTCTGTCCACAAACATGAGAGAATTACATATCCAGTAAATTTGTGATGCTAAATGATGACGTATTCATAGTCTGATCAAGATCTTAGCACACGAAAGATGACTCTAAAATGTGTATACTATGAATCTCCAGATTAGTATCTCAAAATGCACCTAAATCGGTATATAATAATTTCAAGTCGATCCCAATGGGCTGGCACTAATGAGATAAATAAGATTAACCATGTTTTAGAGGACAAACAATCTGGAAGGCTTCAATGAGTTTCTGAAGAAAAATGTACACTTTTTTGTCCCTCGGGTTCTCAGGCATTTCATCAAAGACAAGTGACAACTTACCTTATCAAGAATTATCTCAATGGTCTCATCAGCCAGCTTCATTTCAGATTCACAAAGAAGTGCAATCAACATTTGTTTGACCTGCCAAAACCAAAAACAATGATTTCCAGTGTATTATTTTCTTTTTGGCTCAGATCTTTTTGCTCAAATTCTCAGAGCTACAAAAAAAAAGGAAAAAAATTAAAGAGTTTACAAGCTGCTGAAAATTTTGACTTCCATTTTGTGAGAGTCCTAACAAATTATCTTTACAAATCCTCATCCTTCTTCTGATGTTTATAAGGTTAGCTTAATATAATTTAATTTTCTAACCCATGCGTGTGCAACTCAATCACCACTGCAATAGTGTAATGTGTTGTAGTTCACCCAATACATAACAAAAAGATACTGGTTAAAGTCCCACTCCCCAAGGGAACACAATTTTTAACCAACCCTGCAATGGGTTCTGATTGTTTTATATCCTAACCCACTTGGGCATATACCCAGACGAAGCATACAATGTAAAGAAACAGGCAAAAAACACGAAGATGAACACCAATATACCTCTTGGCGCTCAATAAAGCCCGTGCTATCCAAATCATAAAGCTTGAATGAAACTGCAACACAACAGAAAGAAAAGTGCAAACTTTAGAATATAGTACAGGCATGTAGAAGTTCTGTGGTACATAAACTAAAAGAAGTCTGCTCTTTGAAATACGTTTAAGATATCTATGCGTCCATTCAACTTACAGTCAATTTTGTCTTCTAGCGAGGCATTGGGATGAAAGACATTGAGTGATCTCACAAAGTCAGTGAAGTCAATCACACCCTTCCGTTTAACGTCAAACAGATCAAATATCTGCATGTGGAGTTGGTTCAAGAACAAAAGTCAAAACTTGAACCAGAGCAGAAATTTAGGGAGGAGAATAGTTAGATTCACCATCAGTTATGATTCAGTGAAACAAGGAAATGAATACCTTCAACTACTTTAAATTTAAATTACATCTGGTTATCACTTTAGGCAGATGAAACTCATTAAACAACTGATGCAGCTGCATAAAGTTGATTGATTCACCACAATACAGAATGTGGATAAATAGATTAAGCATAAGATCAACAACCTATACAGACATGAAAGTTAAATTACTACCAGTCATCTAATATATGAACTGCTAAAAAAAAGCACAAGTTTCGAGAAATTAGTTTTATATGGTTCTGGAAATATTTTATAATTAACAGCATGATTTCAATGTTTATAGATATAATATAATCTGCACATAAAAAAACTACACTAATAACTAAAGTAATAGATACATACCCGATTTGCGAAGAGATTTTCTTTCTTTCTATTCTTGAAAATGGCTAGCTGAAATTCTTCCTGCATATTCACCAAGAACACTCAATGTCACATTTTCCTAACAGATATTGGCATATAACAGTTTGTAGTACTACGTTCGTAAATAGATGTTTATCAAGAAGTTTTGACCAGACAAGCATAAATAAATAAAAATAATTTTACATATAAATATGTTAATTTTTAATTCAAAAATGAATTTACAGATATATATTTGGAACCAAATTGTAAAAGCTAAACATCCTGTTACAACATGTAATACACTGCCCAATACAGTTTAACACCATGGAAACTTTCGATTGTAAAATGTCGTTAACATTCACTATGATCCCATCATTAGAACATCCAATCCTTTTCCATCCACTTTAATCAAAACTTGAATTTCTACAATAAAGCAGGCTGGGGGAGAATTAGCATGATGGTAGAAAGCAGGTACATACCTTGTTTATCAACCCATCGTCAATCACAGAACTGCTGATACTCTTATATAACTCAAAGAGTGCTTCAACTTCACTAACAGTAACTGGGGACCAAAACGAATGCGTTAAATTGGTCTGAGAATGAAAGAGTAAGTTTGTGCATGTGCTAGAGAAAGAAAAGAGATGAAATAATCAGTTTGATTATATTATGATGTTATAACATTTACTGCAACAAAGAAAATATTGTATTCAAATGCTTTGATTATCTTTTGAGGTCATAACCAATTAATTGAGGAAGAATATAAAGGTTCAGAGAGGAGCGAAAGCCTAATGCCAATAGCTTAAACTCTGGAGTAACATGAGATCCAGTGGTCTCATATTTCAGACATAAAAGATAAATATAATCGCTGGGAGAAACGAAACAAGTAGGAAAACCTGGTAAATAATAAGTTCAGATTAACAAACTGTGTACAGGGCCTTCATTGCAAACCAAGAGATTACAACAAACTACAGGGCGTAAACACGTAGTCATCATCATTCAAAAGTATAGAAAACTGCAAAAACCACTAATGAAAAAGCAAACATTGAACAACTTACAAGCTGTTTGCGAAGCAAGACTCACTGGATCCTCGTGTCCAGGAAACTGCCGCCTTGCCTTAGAACTAAAGCAACCCATTTAGAGCATCTACCTAACAACACCAAAGTTCAGCTCACCCTCCCCTCCCCTCCCCAGGCCTTATGCCTCCTTTGAACCCACAAAAAGGACAAAAAAAGCAACACATTAGTGAACAAGGCAAAAGCAGTAACTCAGCATCCTTACAATGTATCACCAAACCAATCAGAAATAGCAGATGTTAAATAAGATAATCCCATAATTATCTTGATTTGTAGCTCTAATTAGTAAAAATCTATTGCATAAATGCACAAGGAGCAGTTATAGCCATCCTTCAACTAGTTCAAAGAAAGAAAAAAACATAGTCAATAAGAACTCGATCGTAACGGCCATTCAATACCATTTAAAACAAATTAATTTTTAAATGTTTGCCAAATTGAAGAGGGAGAGAAAATAATAGAAAGTTTGGAATTGTTTGCATGCAAAGTTTCATGAATGTATAGCTCCATTTTTCTCTTCAATTCTTAAAAGCTAAATAAATAAATAAATCAATTTCCATATTCTTTTGCATATAGCAACCCAATGAAATAGTTGGATTAAAACAAAAACTTGATTTTCCCAGCAACCAAACAAATAATTTCAAGAAAATATCAATACCCAGATCACTAAACCCCCCAAAATTTCAGAAAAATCAGAACTTTCTCAAAAACACACCAAAAAACCAGAAATAAATCGAACCCACAAACAATTAAAGCAAAAAGAAGCAAACTTTATAGCAGAGTAAAACGGGAAAGAATGTATATTGACTTACCGACCAAGAATTTGGCCGGAAAAGCTTGGCTGCCAATTCTGGAGAGGGAAAAGCTAACAACACAGATTCAGAGATGCAACGAACTGGAAGGAGGCAGAAAAGCAGAGAGATGGGTTTTTTGTGGAGAAAAGGAATAGGTAAATCGGACGGCTGGGGTTGAGTTTGATCACGAACTTCTCGCGAAATTCACGCTGATTTGTCTAAATAAAAGCTTCTACCGAAAGCCAAAAAAGAAAACAAACAGTTAGTAGGAGGAGGAGGTGGGGGAGTCCACTGCACGAGGGGTGAATGCGCGTGATGGGATTTGGATCTCATTTTGTTGTTATTAACTTTTTTTTGTTTTTTTTTTGTTTTTGTTTTTTAACAAACGTTATTATATTAAAGGTGTGGATTTAGTTTTATAATGGACAGCAATAATATGGTTTGAATTCGGCTTTAGTGAGAGTTGAACCTAAGATCTTTCACTTATAAATGAATATGAACACCACTAGACTGTAATACTATTTTTTTTTCTTGAACAAATGACATTATGTACACTATGGGAGGATGTCGACTTACCCTCACAATAGTATAGCAATAATGTGGTTTAAATTCACCTTTTGGCGAGAATCGAATATAAGACATCTCACCTACGCTCTAGTGGTATTCCTTTTCACTTGTAAATGAGAAGTTTTAGGTTTGATTTTTATCAAAGGCGAGTTTGAATCATATTATTGCTAACCAATGGTGAAGTTAAGCACAACTCATTTTCTTAGTGTAGATAATATCATTTGGTTAAAAAAAAAGGGGGGGGGGGATTTTCTTCTTGGTGGGTAAGAAAGGGATGGTAGTTTATGAGTTAGGCCCTTAAAACGTGGAATTTTGATAATTCCATTTTAAAATCAAGCAAATATAGGAAAATTAATATAAAAATAGTATAACACCTTGATGGTTCCAAGTCCAAGTTTTGCAAATCAACCCACGCAATACATATTCCATCAACTTGATATGTTTGCTCTATACTTGCTATTTTACATTATTGCTCTTTAATTAGGCAACGTTTATTCTAGAAATAATCCAATTGTGACACCCTAGCTATAACCTATAGCTATATTCTTATTGGACACAAGATTGGTTGCATAAGGTTAACTTACGTTGTTGGTCATAAGTCCGGATAAAAGATGAGGAAGATGAAGTCAGGTAGTCGACAGCTGGTATCCGTTTTCAAGTCGAATTCCTATGAATCATTCTCTCTTTCTCCTCAAATAATTCAAATTGAAACCCTAGCTAAAGATTTTGAGTTTACTGTTAACCAGAAGAACAAGCTCTCCAAGCCAAAACACTAAACAATCAAACTAAAGTTTCCATCAAGCTAATATCTAGCCAAAAGTTATTGTATTTTGACTAAAGTTTCATCTTCTAAGCTCAAAATCTTCCCATAAGGACTTTTATTTTAACCAACTAGGTCATTGTTATCTCAATGTTAAAAAAGGTATTAATTTCAATTTCTCATTTACCCATTAGTTTATAAAATAAGATAAGCTTCTTTGTTCTATATATGCCACTATATTTTGCCTAAATTTGAATTTGGTCACTTTGTTTGATTTTGTTTGTAGTTTAAGGTTAGTTTTGAAATTATCATAATACTTAAATCTAGTCGAAAAGTACTATTCACCATCAGTAAATTGACGAAAATAGCCCTCAACTGCTCTTTGTGCCTCATTCTTTTTTCCTCTTGGTACAGTGAAGCTACACATCTGTCCATGCTAGCCACACGTCCATCATCGTCAAAAGGTGTGCTTCAACCACAACCTCTCAACTTTTCCTTCCATTTCCACTTCTTTCTCTCGCTCTCGAACTCACCTTCTGCCACTCTCAAACATCTCATTTTCTCACCCTGAAACCAAGACAATTTTGATGATCTCTTCACAAAGTCATTGCCAAAGTCTACCTTCCAGAAGTTTATTCACGTATTGGATTGCGTAAACTTCCATATTTGCATCACTAGTAGTTCTTACAGTGAGTTTAGTCAAACTTAAGGGGAATATCCTGAAGCATACCACATAACCTTAATATTCCATTTTCCCTACGATCACAAGCATTTTTTTCCTACTAGGTTTTTGCTAACCTGATGAGGTTTTAATAAGGCACCTACTCTAGGTTGCTTGTACCCTTTTATAAGTTAATGATCATTCTGAATATGTGAAACATCGACATCATGTATTAACTCACTTTTCTCCTTAGATTATGGGTTTGTCCCACTGGGTTTACCAAAGCCAGATTTTGGTGTGATTTAACTTTTGATATGCACCCCTCATAAAAGACTCGGGATAAGCATCTATTATACATGTCGAGAACTATCGACAACAACCGTCATCTCCTAATCATGAAGATCTAATGCAACTACTTCTTAATAGCACGTTTACTAATCCGTAATCAGATTGAGATGAATTGGATAAAAGAGGAATTGAATTGAGGGAGAATCATAATCAAAATCCTATTAAAGTTGTTTACTAAAGTATTTGGAATCGGAATAAAATTGGTGTTAATTCCATAAAACTTGTTAACTTATTAAGTTAAATCGGAATTAAAAATAGTATCATTACTAAACAACCCCTTATTCTAAATAATTATTTTTCATATAAAGTTATTGGAATTGATTTATATTTCATATCATATTAATTCATAAAATAATTGAAGAAGCTCTTCTTAAGGTAATATTTGTATAAATAAAAAAATAAAAAAACCAACACCTTATCCCCTTCCTCCAGATACCTTAGCATCCTCATCTCCTCCCTTACTTCAATCTTATCTTTCCCCAACCCCCATAGCCTTCCCGCGACCTCCTATATTCACAGGTCCTCCACTCCTCCCTTCCATCCATATCCCCTTCTTCCCTAGCCCCTACAACCATCCCACCACCTTCTGAATTCGCAGATTCACATGCATCCTCATTTGTCTTTCTCGTTCTTCAATTTTGTAAGCGACGAGGAAAACTGGGGTTCAAGTGTGGCCGGAGCCGACGCTCCTCCTAGGAAAATTGGTGGGGAAATTTGGAAAGGTAACCATATTTTAAATCTCCTATATAATTATAGCCATCATTTTAGTTTTATGATAATTCTAACCAAAAATTGATGTAAAAGTACTAATATACCCTTAATATTAGGGTTTCTCACAACAAAAACAAAACCTTCTTTAAACTCTCGCAACCTTCTGGTTTCTCACCTTAAACCAGAAGAGCACTCTTTGCCGATTTTGCATAATTAAGCAACAAGGATGTTCTGACCATAAAAAAGGCAGCAGGACGTAACAACCTTTCAAATTGACTAAGAAACAATGGTATGGTTGGTCAACTGTAGCTTCCAATTCCTAAATCAACTTTTTGATATTTCATATTGGTTTTAATCAAACCTTTAACGATTTTCATGTTCCAATGCAGGATAATTTATTATGAATCCTTCGACAAATCAACAAGTTGATTTAAGAATTAGAAGCTGCAGTAAAGCAACCATATCAGTGTTTATTCGGCACTTTGCATAAGCAGGTTACTTATATGTGCTAATTAATTTTTCTCTAAAACTTTTTCCTAATGTTAATATATTTGCAGGTTAGTTAGACCGCTAATTAAAATTTTTTTCCTTCAAAATATGACTCAATTTGTTACCGTGGTCCACTACAGATGGAGGAGGGTTAATAGCTAATACACATATGGCCAAGAGAAAGCAATGGTAGTGTCAACCAAAGTTACTCATCAAGATCTTATACATGGTATATATAAACATCTTCGTATTAGTCTGAGTGAATTTAGAATCTCAGTACATTATCAATGCATGAGCAACTTAGGGATGCAAAATATGATGGAGATTGTAGACAATGACGATGTGACTAGTTGGGTATGTGAAAGTCTTTCTGCAAAACCGAACAAAATTTCATTATATGTTACAACATATCCTCTAAATGAACCTGAAGATGAACACCCAATTGCATGTAGTTCCCTATCACCAACAGTGGCAATTCAAGAAAATGATGGCATTTTGGGTGATGAACAACCAAGTCAAGTTCTTCAAGATAATGCCCAGATTAGTGAGACTTCAATAGATGTGAGTTTTGAGTTTACTAATGACTATCATGGCAATACCCATTTTGATAATGTGAAGTCTAACGATGCCAATTTCAATCTATCGTCGTCTCATCGTAACAAACGTAAGAGCATATAAGACTATGATAATATTGCAGATTTGAATATAGATGGAGATATTATGGTCGCATAATTGTACTCGAGTAAGAAAGATTTGCAAAAACAATTAGCTATGATTGCAATAAGGGGTGCATTTTTGCTCACCCACATTAACCTTGGTGTATGCTCACCATACACTTATAAGTTTGACATCTGTCTCATTCCCTAATCATAGTTAACTTCTTTATTAAAATACTTTTTCAATTTTTAAAAGTAATTTAAAATACTGATTAAACAAAAACAAAAATAAATACAAACCCACCCCACTCAACCAAGCCAACCCAGACAAACATCACTCACGCCGTCGTCGTCAGTGACCACCTTTCAACCCTAATTCCTTATTTACCCATCACTTAAGCCACTCCACTCCACTCCACTCCACAGGCATCAACGGAAAACCCTTTCTCTTTTATTTCCCTAAAGGTCCAAAAATCCCAAGCTGAAGAACTTAACCTAAATCCATTTTTCTCACAAACCCAATTGAAAAACTTCCAAGCCTTCACGGGTTTCTTCAAAACATAGATTACTGCTACATTGGTGGTAAGTGATAGGTATTAGGACTCGGATGACTAGTTCTCCAACTCACTGGACCACCGGTTGGCCAAAACGAGTGGTAAAACCTAAAAAGGCAAGAGAAATAGAAAGAAAGATGAGAGGAGGAAAAGGGTGAAGAAGAGAAAGGGAGACAGTGAACATATGGTTTATCCAGCTGCCAGACGGAGAGGTTTTCACAACGGTGGCGTGCTAGGTGTTTGCGGAGTTATCTGGGTGTGTAATTTGAAGTGCAATAGGATTGTATTTATTTTTGTTTAATCTCAGTGTTTTAAATTAGAAAAAAGAATATTTAATAATGGAATTAACTATAGTTAGGAGATAAGACAGATGGCAGGCATATAGGTGTATGGTGAGCATACACCAAGGTTAATTTGGGTGAGCAAAAATGCACCCTTACAATGAGGAAGAATTATGAGTTTAAAGTGGAAAGATCAACTAAGGATCATTTGGAAATTAGATGTGTGGATGATAATTGCAAGTGGCGACTTTGTGCAACCAAGTTACAAGTGTCATAATTTTTTGAAGTAAGAAAATTTGAAACTAATCATTGTTCAATGTGATCATCGACAAGCAAGTAGCTCTGTTGTTGGCCAATTTATAAAGTCAAAGTATGAGGGGGCATCACGCATATATAGACCTAAAGACATCATTGAGGATATGTGAGCACAAGTTGGGGTTAATATGAGCTACAAGAAAGCTTGGAGAGCAAGAGAGCATGCATTTAACATGATTTGAGGATCGCCAGAGGAATCTTTTGCCACACTTCCTGCCTATTGTGCCATGTTAGAAAGTAAAAATCCTGGAACAGTAACACATATAGAAACGGATGACAATAATCACTTTTTATACTTTTTAATCGCAATGGGAGCCTCTATAAGGGGATTTTGGGGTTCTATGAGGCATGTGGTCGCAGTTGATGGCACTTTTCTAAAGGGTAAATATCTTGGCACCTTATTTTTCGTTGTATGCCATGATGGACAAATCAAATATATCCTTTGGTATTTGGTGTGGGTGACTCAGAAAATGACACTTCATGGACATGGTTTCTTACAAAATTGAGAAGTGCCATTGGAGAGGTAACAGACTTGGTGTTTGTATCTGATCGACATGGCAGCATTGGTAAAGCTGTGAAAACTGTGTTTCCAGAGGCATATCATGGAGCTTGTATGTATCATGTAGCTGGCAACATGAGGAATAAATTTGGTGATGATGAAACAATGTTTTAGTTATATTACATTGTGGCAAAAGCATACCTTGTGTCTGAGTTTAATAGTGTTATGAATGATATTTGGGCAATCAAAGATGGAAAAGTAGGAAAATGTCTTCAAGAAATTGGGTATCATAGATAGGCTCGGGCACATTTCAATGGAAAATAATACAACATGACGACAACCAACATTGCCGAATCTATGAATGCGAAACTAAAGGATGCTCGAAAGTTGCCTATCACTGCTCTAGCGAATCACCTTAGAGGTATACTACAAGAGTGGTTCAACGAACATCGGAGCACAGCAAGTTCATGGAATTCGACCTTGACAAAGTGGGCAGAGGAAAAAGTGCAAAAGAATCAAAATAGAGGCTTGCGTATGTCGGTATGTATGATTTGTTTACATTTTTATGCACCCACGATATTTGTCCCTACACTTTTCTTTTATTCACTTTCTAGGAAAAGGGTTGCTTTTGCACTTACACATATTCTCAGTTTTGGTTTTTCTTCAAGGTATTGTGTGTGCATTTTTTTATTTTTTATTTTTTATTTTTTTCACATGGTTGACAACTATGCAGGTATCTTCCATTAATCACTATGCATTGCAAGTACATGAGGCAGACTTATATCACATAGTTGATCTAAATGGCAAGTCATGTACGTGTAGAAGGTTTGATCTCAACCAACTTCCATGTGTCCATGCAACTGCTACATGTCGAATTTGCAACACATCAGTGTACAATATGTATTCCAAAATGTACATAGACAATGCAATTGTGCTAGCGTATGCAGAGCCCATTTGGCCGGTTGGAAACAAGAGTGAATGGAGTGTGCCGGAAGAGGTGCAAAATGGAGTTGTGTTACCTCCAATTAGACAAGTTGTATCTGGAAGACGCAAGACAAATAGAATCCTATCTCATGGGAGGAAAGGATAGTGAAGAAGTGCAGTCGTTGTGGTGGGACAGGCCACAATCGCCAAACTTGCAAGAATCCAAATAGACTCCATTCCAGCGCATGGTGTGAATGTTTTTCTTTGGGATTTATTACATTATTGGCTTTTATATTATTTGGGATTTATCACATTATTGGCTTTTGTATTTTCAATCGCCAGTTTAGCAGAAAAACCTCACACATATTTTAGCTTAAAAGGATTTTTGCTCCTCTATTTTTAGATTCAAATTTCACTTCGGAGATTCAGTTCCTGATTAATTATGAATGTGATTGTGTAAACTTTAAGTACAATCCCAGTATAACACGCCCTAAGTTTTACACACTCAAAGGAGAGTGTTGTGTATAGTATTTTAATTACGAATGTGATTGTGTAAACTTTAAGTACAATCCCAATATGATTTGGAGATCAAATACTCATAAACTTTGTATTACTGCCTGTCACGGTTAGTATGAATAAAGGTACAAGGTCAGGAGGTGAAGACACAATTCTCATACACCTGAACCATTCTCTCACTCAATTTTATAATTGGTTTCACAACAACATACCTATTGATACAAGTATCAATTTTTTTAATAAAATCAATATTCTACACTAACCTATGCTAAGTCTCGGAGGGGGAGGAGGAAGAGTTTGAACTCAGGACACAATGAATTAAAGAGGAAGGTACTAATTACCATGATAATTCACCACTTGCATTAATACAAGCATCATTAGTATACAAACTTCTCGTGGGAACTTTTGATGATCACGCTATGAAGAATTTGAGAACATCTCTATATATAAAACCACCGCCCTAAAATAATGAAGCTTTTAAAATACCACAAAATATTCTTGGTTCATTAAATTTCTAAACTGAGATACTTTGGTTTTTTATTATTATTATTATTTTTTTTTTTTTTTTTGAGAAGAAAAGATACTTTGTTAGTTTGCGTTTTACTTGTAGTAATTATTAATTTTCATTAAGTCAAGCCATGCAAAGGCTCGAGTTCAACTTACAAATAAGCTGAGCCGAATCGAGCTCAAGCTTGCAAAAATCATTTGAGCTGAGCTTGATCATACTTTTAGTAACTTTTTTCTTTTCTTTCTAGCTTAAGTGCGAATAATATCAACTAAGCTGAATTTGAGTACCTTGGTATACTCGGCTTGGCTCAGCTCATTTACACCCCTACTTTATGAGCTTGTTCTAAAATTACAATGTCTCAATTGTTTGGTATTGTTGATTTAGCGCATACTTGTCAGAAACCTTTTTGGTGCAGGTTCGATTTTCATCAATTCTTCTCCCTCCTAAAAATTAACTATATAATAGATATCACTCTACTAATTTAAATAACAGAAAGAGAGATGCCGACACTTTCGACCGACCAAAAACAAAATTCATGTGAGTACTGTTTGTAAAGTGGTGTTTAATTATCTTAACCTAGGAGGTTTGGTAGTTAAGAAGCAATGAGTATGTTTTCAAGCTTATGCTTTCCTTCAATTTCATTTCAATATTTGTCACCTTTACATATTTTTATAGGTTTCTTTATGCCTTCCCCTAATTTCCAGTAACTTTGTCACCTTTACGTTTCAAGCTTATGATCTTAACTAGTACTAAAATTCGCTACCTTTACGTCTGCATATGCCTTTCTGTTTTGTTTACTTCAGAATATACTACGTCCCATATATGGTGGTGCCTTCTGTCGGTTGGAGATCCATTGGCTTGTCAATGTCTCCTAATTAATTAGGGTTTGTTTTCTAATTAAAAGGTGAAACAATGATAACGAATGAGCAGACTTAGTTCATGGCGGATTACTAATCCAGTTACAACCAACGAGCAGTTGTATTGAAAAGATGGGTTGCCTGAATACAATCACGTAGCGTAAAAACACTAAACTAGAACGAAAGAAGAAACGCAAACACCTATATTACACCATAAAAATGTAAATCAGAATGGTTTTGAATTAACATATATTCACTAAAACAGAACACCGTATTAGGATTGTGTGCTAAATATTCTAGGTGGTGAGCCGACCTACCTCAGTCGACATTGATCTATCAGAAGGGTTATATGGAGCCAGCATAAATTGGTAAGTGATCCTCTTGTTTTCTAATAAAAATGGAATATTGACACAAAAAGAAATTAATATATGGGTACAAACTAAAATTACAAAGAAAATTAGTATAATTTAAATTGCAAATTAAAATGGGTATAAATTAAACATAAAAATATAAGATGCAAGATTTAGCCATATATATATATATATATCAAATGCAACATTTCTAACACTAAATGTGTGAGGATTGGGATGTTCTATAATAACTCTCATGAGAATCAATTTAAGCGCATGGCCATAAATAATGCTAACTTGCGCCTACCAAAAAAAAGGGTCATTTGCGAGGGTCAAATGCAGTCGGAAAAGTCATTTTGCCGTCGTAAATACTTATTTACAACGGGAAAAAGCC